GAAGGGGGCTGCAGGCTGGGACTAAGGCATATGTGTGGGGACCCCAGGGCTGGGATAGCAGGGGGTTGTGGGTAGAGACTTAGGGGTGGTGATGGGGGGGACCCCAGGGCTGGGATAGCAGGGGGTTGTGGGTAGAGACTTAGGGGTGGTGATGGGGGGGACCCCAGGGCTGGGATAGCAGGGGGTTGTGGGTAGAGACTTAGGGGCAGTGATGGGGGGGGGACCCCAGGGCTGGGATAGCAGGGGGCTGCAGGTCAGGACTGAGGTGCATGTACAGAGCTGTGTGTGGAGAGCCCAGGGCTAGCAGGGGTCTGAGGATCGGGATTGTGTTGTATTGACAGTTATGCAGAGATCCCTGAGCTGAAGTAACGTGCCTCCTGACAGCCCACCTTCTTCTCATGGGCACCACCTGTGTTTCCAGCTGAGCTGCCATCCCCAATGCCCCAGCTGGGCTCAGGGTCTGTATTCGAGTTCTACACTCCAGGCACCCAACCAGGACTCCATTGCTCAGCAAACCCCACTGGAGAGACCCTCGCCTGTGTCTCAGCAGGTCACAAATTACTCACTGGACGAGACCCTCACTGGGAACAGCACCAGAACTAGCCCTGAGCTAAACAGGACCCTTGTGCTTCCCGTGGGGCGTTGCACTGCTCCCCCTGCCCTTCCCCCCTCCTCACTGCCTACGTGGAGAGAGCACCTGTGCCTGCCTTTTAACCTGACTGCGCGATGGCTTTGTATGGTCTCTTCTAGTGCAGCCACGTGAAACACCCTGCTCCACTCAGGGGGAGATGGCTCTAGGCCCAGCTATGCCATCTGGCCATTTAACAAAGGGCTGGTGGGGATCAACAACTGGCTCTCAGATAAGATCACATTTTCCAAACAGTTCTGGGAGGGTGTAAGATTCCAGCCCCACCCCTACCAGGAGCTGCTCAGGAGAAAAGACACCACCACCACCACCACCACCACCGCCCTGGTGCTTTTCCTGGCTCCTTTCGAGACCCCCTACTCATGCTGCTTTCCAGACTGCAGAGCCCCAGCCCCAGTGGAGGTGTCTGAGTGCAAAGGAGACACAGAAGCTAACCAGAAACTGAGCAGCCTGGCAGGCAGACACCTGATAAAGAGGGCGGTGGTGCATTTCCCCATGTCTTTGAGAGCAATTACACTTTTATTAATGAGCACAGCAGCACCGGCTCCATTAGCAAAGTATCTCTTGGATAAAGGCAGGGCTGAAAGAGGGAGGGTTGTAAAGGAGCAGGCTGGGTGAACAGTTCCTAATGTCTCATCTGCCTTTTTTCCCCGATTGCAGATTGTCCATAAACAGCTTGGCCTTTCCCCCAAACGTATCTGTTATTCAGAACTATTTCTACAGCTCATTCTGAGCTGGTAGTTTCATTGCAATTCTTTCATATTCCCAGTTCTAAATGCCAGCTGTTTGGGTTGGATGTATAAGCCGTGGACCCTTTGAATCAGGTTCCCAGGGAGGAATAGTCATGATTATGAATTTGAAATTGTCTTGCCACAAATATTCTCTGACATCTGCTGAAAAAGGTGCTGCTTCCACTAAATTCCTACCTCACTTGCTAGACTATTACCAAAAAGAAGAACAGGAGTACTTGTGGCACCTTAGAGACTAACTAATTTATTAGAGCATAAGCTTTTGTGGACTACAGCCCACTTCTTCGGATGCATATACTATACTATATGCATCCGAAGAAGTGGGCTGTAGTCCACGAAAGCTTATGCTCTAATAAATTTGTTAGTCTCTAAGGTGCCACAAGTACTCCTGTTCTTTTTGCGGATACAGACTAACACGGCTGCTACTCTGAAACTATTACCAAAGAAGAAATTCACCCCTATCCAGAGCAACAGCAAAATGGCCTCCTCAAAACTCTCCTTTGCTGTGATGCCTACAAAAAACTTGACAACAGTTAGGCTGGTGTTGTGCAGAAACCAATGCCTATGCTTTGAACCACACTGTCTCATTGTCTCCAGGCCCCCATCCTGTAGCTACCTGTTATCTCCTGTCTTATACTTAGATTGTAAGCTCCTTGGGGCAGGGACGGTCGTTTTGTTCTAGTCCATGGCACTATGGTAATACAAATAATAACAATCATAAATCCTGTGCACACAGGTAGGCCCCGCTTAAGCCCCAGGACTAGAGCAGGTCAAAGTTCCCCATAGTTTTTTCATTTAAAAAAACCCCATATTTTCTGCAGCAAAATATTGATCTTCCTCACACTTTTTCAGTTCTCCAATCAAGAGGAGGGAAACAACACCCCCCCCCCCCCGTTTTGAATCGATATTTTAAAACAAAGCAATTTTTGTCTTCGGAAGTGTCAAATCATTTCATTTCCATTGAAGATGTCAACGTTTTCGGTTCCAATTCAAAACGTTCTGGAATTATTGTTTTTAGAACATTTTCAATGGTTCCAGTTTTTTGTTCTAATCTGGGAAATCCTTTTGAAGTGTCCAGCTTTGTTTTTCCAATCGCTCTGCACAGGACCTGGAGCTTGTCCTTTGCTTAAGGGTGATTTCACCCAGAAATCAAGCACAAGGAGGGACATGATGACCGCAAGGGAAGCGGATTTGTGAACAGATGGGAAAGAATGTCTGTGAATCAATTTAATGCTGCATTATAGTGAGTCACTATTAATATTGCAACAGCGCCTAGGGACCCCACTGGGCCATGCATTGTGGCTAGACAGTCCCTGCCCCAAACAGCTTGCAATCTAAATAGGCAAGACAGACAAAGGGGGTGGGGAGGGGAAAGAGAAAAGAAGTGACATGCCCAAGTCACACCGCAGGTCAGTGGCAAAGCCAGGAACAGAGTCCAGATCTCCTGACTCTCAGGCACTAGACCGCCACCCACACAATGATATAACAGCTGTAATCATGGGAATCTTTCCCTCCTCTAGTAAAAGTGTTATTATTATTTGCCCAGGCTTTTCATCCAAAACTTGAGCTCCTTTAGGTCAGATCTAGCCCTGGTTTAAGTGAACGCAATATCCACTGACTTCAGCGCAAGGCTGCATTAGCTCCATCTTCGTTTAGCACTTTTACACCAAAGAGAAGCTTTCCCTCAATACAACGAAAGATCCAGACCTCAGGCCCTTCTGCCGAGCCCTCGGGCAAGATCCGGAGAAGACAGACGAGTCTCTTGGAGTTTTTTAAACATCACTCACAATGCCATTCTCTGAACCAAAGTACAAGAGTTAAATCTGTGCTCATCACTGATTGACAGGTGTCAGCTTATTAGAGTCCTACCACATCATGAAAGCATATGGGCGTCTCACTCCAGTTTGACATCAGTATAATGTCATTGACTTTAATGCAGTTACTCTTGATTTACACCAGGGTGAGTGAGAGGGGAATCAGGTGCTATAGATTCCCCATACCCTCTGGATTCAGGCAGAAGCCCGAGCCTGCAGAAGGCGCTGACCCAGGGGCTTTGGATTAATCAACTTTTAGGGTCAGATTTTTCTAAACCTCTTATGCCTTGCATTTGGCAGCCAGAAATCAGGTTCTTCATCTTGCAAACTGCACCCACGGTTGAACACGC